TAATAATACTAAAAAGGCTTAAAAAAAATCAGAAAATGTTTGGGAGGGCTATTGAAGTGTTTGGGGGGCTTAGCCCCTAAAGCCCCCCCCTATTTGCGCCTATGAGTATGAGGGTCCCATATTCTAAAATGGGGCGCCCAAGCGGACAGAAAAGTGTTTTTAATGACGATTCAACCCGAAAGTCCTGTATTAATATAAAGCGAATGTTTGAATAGTTATTATATTTTTAAAGTTGTACAATATTTTATTTTATTTTTTTCATTGTATTTATACCTGTTATTATCTTTGATAGTTTGATGTATAGCTACCTTGTAGTGCTTGTACCTACTACCTATTTAACTTTGGATTGTAATTAAAATAATAAAATCTTACTTGCCTGGGCCTGGATGCTTATCGATTAATTGTAAATTTCAATAACATATAATAATAATATATTTTTAAAAACAATAAGCTACAAGGTAATCAAGAAACGTAGTTGTTGTATCATTAATTAAAGTGAAATGAATTTTTTTTTTTAATTTTCTTACATTTTCTAAAATTAGAAATCAGAAATAACAGTGGCTATAATACTCCTATAATTTTTTTAATATGTATGGTGAGCATTTAACATGTTTTAGTACCTATTTGGTACCTAATATTATCAATTGAGAATATTGTTTTATTATGTTGTTGTGACTTACTGACTTCATAACAGTTATACCTTATAAAAACTTTAATATTGTACTGTGTCATGTGTAAATGCATTTGCTTACACTATTACACAATTCAACTTTAGATTTTACCGTTCGTAATAATACGTAGGTATATGATTGCATCGTTCAAGACCCAAGTGCACACATTTTACAATATTTTTTATAGACTAAAGTACGGTTTACGGATTCACTATAGTGCTTGTTACAATCATATGTAAAAGTTCAAAAAACTATTTTATTTTTTCAGCAATTTTTACATTCTGTGAATCCGAGGGAACCAAGCAATGTACCTAGTGGTTTTGCCGTTTTGGCACGTTGAATCTGAATGCGGTACTCAACAGGATATACTTGCCTTCCTAGGCGTAACTAGACCTTAAAGTTGGTGGGGGGGGGGCTCCAGCCCTAGCATTTTCCAAACAAAAAAAGGTGGGGTGCCCCCCCCCCCCTAAATCATGCTTAATAAATTATTAAAATTATAATATTGTTTAATTATTATAGTGTGTTTAACATATTTTTTTGTGTGTATAAAACAAATTATAAAAAAGTGTTACTGAGGTAATTAATTAAATGATTAAAATTATGTAGAATTTATGTAGAAAAAATTATACATGATTTTACGCAGGACCATTATATACAATAATATAGTTGGTCAAAGATGTTAATAAAAAAAATTAAACGATGTATCAAATTTAAATTTACAAATTAAGTTAAAAGTTAGTATGACTATAATAATTATGACAGGGGGGTGGCTATAATCAAAGTTGGGAGGGCTTAGTCCCCCAAAGCCCCCCCCCACTCCCTAGTTACATCTATGCTTAGCTCATGTACTATTTCCTGTATTGCCAACAGGGCAGCGGCCTTGTCTGACATAAACATACACACAATGTGCATCAAAGTAATTTCACCAACCAAATTTTACTGACGTTTTTCACTTTGTGTATACCTACTGTATAATATCACCTATTATATGATTATGAATTTTAGTTTTTATACAGAGCAATGAATCAATAAATTGATTTTACAATAATGTATTTATATTTTTTTTGTGTAACTATAAACATGGATTTAGACTTTGAGGGTGGTTTCTGATGGCAAACTTAATCTAGGTAGTAGTAGTACTCTGAAAGGTTAAAATTTAAAATTCCCAGTTTTATTTCGAAAATAATCGATTAAGCAAAAAACTTGTGTATTATGATACGTTCAAAAATATCTATGGATATAAGAGATAGTTTGTAGAATAACTATTTAGATGGAGATAAATAACATGAAAGTGTATCTACTACCTATCTAGTTAAAAAAAATTAATTAATTTAATTTTCTAAAATTAAGTGAAAATGTGTTGTACCTGGCTATACGTTTTAGATATTAAAATGATAGTGCGATTGATTCAACTTGACTTATAAGCTGAATAAACAATATTTATAATAAATATATTAATTAGTAATTACCATTTTTTTGGTTTTTCTACTATAACTCAAAAAGTAATCTTGAATGTAAATTATGAAAATACCATATTGGACGTCGTAACATGAAAATTAAAATTGGTTTACTAATTCCCTTCATACCTGCATATATTCTATAGATTCTATAGATCTATAGATTCACACAATTAATATTATCACTAGATAATATTATCGTATAACATCGTATTTTGTTTTTATGAAATTACAATACAATGAATCAGGCGCGTATCCAGAATTTTATTTCGGGAGGGGCTGAACAAAATTATCAACATAGTCACCCAATAAAACAAAAAAGTGGGTAAGTGGATGTCGCTCTGCTGTACAGTAGGTTACAAGTGGGTCACTGTAATGGATGGTGTAAAATTTGAATTCTATGATATAATATCATTGTATAAGAAAAACGATTCTAAGCGAAAACGGTCCAGTCAGCCTATGATATTACTAAGTACGAGGTTAGTCCGGAAAGTATCGGGCCTACGTTTATATCTTCGCGCCATAGTGTTCGAGCGACCTCTGCTGGACAGAAACGTCAACAGTAAAGCCTCACGAATCTATCGGTTACTTACTGACATCTGCCGAACGTATAGTTCATGCGCAGCGTGTCTTTGTTTACAGTGCCTTTTTCACGTTCGTCGGATTTTGATATTGTCAAAAATGACTGAAAAACAAGATCAACGAATTTGCATCAAATTTTGCTTTCAACTCGGAAAAACGAGTTCGGAAACTATTGAAATGATGCAAAAGGCCTTATATTATTGTAAATAAAGTAATTTATATATTTACCTATTTACGTGGACCATTGTTTTAAATTTTTAATCCTTAACTATGAAAGTTGAACACTTTATAAATTTTTAATTACAAAATATTTATTACATTTTAAATTTGATAAATTTTGTCAAAATTCGAACTTTAAATGATTATAAGAAAAAAATGTGCCTATGTATTTTTAATACTTTTCAACTAATATTGTTACAATATATCAGGAGCCTTGCGTTAAATTTTCATGCTTTTTTACCCAACAAAAAAATTTTTATTGATATTTATAGAAAAAAAACTAAGAAAAATGAAAACTGTCAATGTCCGTAAATAGCTCAAAAAGAGGCAAAATATTTTCAAATTTTTTTGGTGTATAAAAAATGAAAACATTCAGCAAAATTATAAGTTTTGTGATTTTTCCGTATTTTGTCAAGATTCGAACTTTAAATGCTTATAAAAAAACTATGACTAAGGATTTTTAATATTTTTCAACTGCTATTGTAACAATATAGCAGGAGCCTTGTATTAAATTTTCAAGCTTTTTTACCCAACAAATAAAGTTTTATTGACATTCATATTTTTTGGATTTTCTTGAAATTTCAGGGGGGCTGCAGCCCACCCAGCCACCCCCATAAATACGCCCCTGCAATGAATACAAAGCAAATGAACAATTTATCATAAATCGAAATTAAACAAATATAGGTAACATATAACAGAGTTAAATAAATATTTTGAAAATGCTCTAACAAATTAATAACAATAATATACAAATATAGGTAACATACAACAGTTAAATAAATATTTTGAAAATGCTCTAACAAATCAATAACAATAATACAAATATGGACACAATCAAAAATTAAATCTTAATACCTTCATCCTTTTCGCGTACGGCCGTGCGACCGTATGGCCGTATGGTCTATGTGCCTGGAAGGTCTCCTGATAACAACAAAAATTATCAATATTAATTGTAATTAAAATTCACCACAATTAGCGACCGGTATATTTCAATAATAGAAAGTATATTATTTTATAATCACAGTTCAATTTACAATGATATGTAAATTTGTGTTCAAAAGGCTAGAGTGTTCATGATATTTGAAATATAACCGTGGAATACCGATTTGTGTAGAGTTTATACAAAAATAGGTAAGTATATAGTATGCTTGTACAGCTTCGGTGGTATAATATTATGGCTGTTTGGAAGTATTAATACTCACAAAGTGTTCTTTCTTAGATTCCTTTATTTCTCGTTTCTCGTCTAATTTCAAACCATTAAACATCGCCACAAGGAGGTCCATGCAATGCCGTAACTAGGCTACTTGAGGCCTGTGTGCAAAACCAAAATATTGAGGCCCCTTATTATTTTTTTCAATACACCCCTCAAAAACTTTTTTTGCAATTTTGAAAATCAGCAGACAAAAATTCGGGCTTAAATAAATGTTTAATTTAAAATAATCTATAATTTTAAAACAATTTCTCAAGGCTATAACTAACTCAAAAAAGTAAAAATTTTCCAAAATGTAATTTATTGAAAATATTAATATAAATATTTGGTGAAAACCTCAATGGTCTACTGTTATTAGTTTTCGAGTTATAACAAAAAATAAAATTTTTGGTTTTATTTAAAAATGACAATTTTTTTTTTTATTGACGCTTTTTAATATCTAAAACTAAAAATTTCGGTTTCAATCTCCAAAAAGTACCAACTAGATTCACTTTTCTAACAGAAAAAATGCTGATCTCGAAATTCGGAATATTTTTACTATCCATTGTTGATGACCGACAGAAATGAAAAAAATTATACACATCTTGTAAAATCAATACATTTGTTCGTTCCTCTCAAAATCTAAGAACAGTGATTACGACTCCATGCTATATTAAAAATGAAATAACATTGGTTTCGTTTCCAAATCAATAATAAATAATTTATATATTTTAATAATTGTATATATTAATTTAATATTAGTCTTTAGATCTTTTGAGACCCTTCGATATATTATGAGGCCCGAGGCCTGTGTGCGGTGCACACTTTGCACACCCGGTTTTTACGGCACTGGGTCCATGGAATCAACCTGTTCGGTCATTTCTACTTCGAAATCGTGATCGTCCACAAAATATTCGTGCGGCACATCATTTTGGTCATCTTTCGGAAATCGCTCGTCCGCAAACACGGACACAGTTCCAAATCTCCAGTTATCTCCAGTATTTTCATCTGTTGGTTTATCTTCCACACGTTTTCCTTACAGACTGGTAACAACCTATTCGGAGCTGCATAATTCGTCGAGGCATCGCAGACTCCAGTCATCGCGTCACATCCAGACATTACGGTAGGAGATGAAATACCAAACCAAGCCAAAAATGTATTGCTCGTCTGGATTTTTTAACGAAATATCCGCTTGAGTATATTATATACATTGTTTATTTCCGGTTTCTATGTTGTAACAAAATACTCATTGATTTAATTTCAGCCGTGGAATATATTTATATTATAATATAGATGTATGCTTAAATATTTTTACAATTATGTATATTAATATAAAGAACTCGAACATCACTGCACATATCAATCGGCAGTGGTACAAAAAAATTTGTAGAGACTCAAAACATTATACTTATTATGACATGAAGCTCGCATATATTGTATAATATTATATAATGCATGTTCAACATAGAACATATTTGGACTTCAGCGGAATTAATTTTGTGTTTTTAGTTGTATTATTACAGTATTCATTATCAAATGTTTTAAAGGTAAGGATATTATCAGTATTCTTTAGGTGGCTTTTTCTATCTTCATTTACTGAAGTCATGCATTGGCAGACCATTTCCAAAGACCAAAGTCCTAAAAAAGCATTTATATTGTTATTACTTATTATAAGTTATTTCTTTACGGATGAAAATATTTAAATCTCAAGAATTTAAATTAGAAGAACTTATCTGATTGTGTAAAAATAAAAACCAAAGTTGAAAGTATTGTCATTGACGACTGACACAAATGACACGAGCGGCGCCGCGGCGGCAACGAAATTGCATAATATTGCCAAAAAAATGTATGAACGATTTTGTAGTTGAAAATTTATAAAATGTTCAACTTTTAGAGCTAAGGATTGAAAACTTACAACAAGGTTCCGCGTAAGTAGGTTCTTCTGTAACCAAAAAATCTCAAAAATATAAATCACGGTTTTTTTTTTTTAGTTATTTTCTATTAAAAATTGGAGGAAATTATACACATTAAATAACCAAGAATAACGGTTTTAGTTATTTTTTTGTAATTTTATAATATTAATTCAACTTACCGTATTATAATAATAACTAATAAGTAATAACAATATAAAGATATTATAAAATATCCAGACTGACAAACCGTCTCCGCTCGGAATCGTTTTTCTTATACAAATATACAATTATATTATATCATTGAATTCAAGTTTAATATACTCCATTATAAATTGACCCACTTGTAACCTACTGTACGGCAGAGCGACATCCACTTACCCACTTTTTATTTTTTGACATTCAAGTTGATTTTGTTTTATTTTCTATTGTTATATTATTGAAAAATTAATAAATAATAATGTTAAAAGCTATATGTACTTACCTACTTATTGAATTGCAATAACGTTATTTAAGAAAATATAATTTGAACGTATTATTAATTAGAAGTTCTTAACGTATTAGGGATTAATGAATATTTTTCGAGGGTAGCGAATTGTGCGCATGGGCGTGGCTTTGTTCCGTGGCTGCGCCCGACGCGTCGCTGTAGTGGGGACGGCATCTGGCCATATGTCTGACCGCCGCCCGACAAAAACTGGTCGCCGCCGGGTCATCGTCTTATTTTGAACAGAGTATAGTATAGTTATGTACAACTATTGAGGGGCCTCGCAATGGCATTGATTTAAGGAGAATCATTTAGGCAATTTCTAATCTCGTCGTCGCCACCCGAGATCTATGTGTTAGTCGTAAATGATTATTAGTGTGAGTGAAATTAAATACGGATATCCTGTCTCCAGTCTCCCAAGGCGGTGGGGGTTGAAAGTATTTAGCATGCACATCTCACTTCCATCGATAGATATGGACACGAGAAGTAGGTAATTTTATGTGCTCTACCCTTAAGGGGCCTCGCAATGGCATTGATTTAAGGAGAATCATTTAGGCAATTTCTAATCTCGTCCTCGCCACCCGAGATCTATTATTTGTTAGTCGTAAATGATTATTAGTGTGAGTGAAATTAAATACGGATATCCTGTCTCCAGTCTCCCAAGGCGGTGGGGGTTGAAAGTATTTAGCATGCACATCTCACTTCCACCGATAGATATGGACACGAGAAGTGGGTAATTTTATGTGCTCTACCCTTAAGGGGCCTCGCAATGGCATTGATTTAAGGAGAATCATTTAGGCAATTTCTAATCTCGTCCTCGCCACCCGAGATCTGTTTGTTAGTCGTAAATGATTATTAGTGTGTGTGGCGTCCATGCGGGTCAATTCAGCCACTCAATTGTAGCGGTGCGGAGGGCACTCGCACACGCATGTCAATATATAATATTGTGATCATGAAAAAATGTTTATTTTTCACTCAAACATATGTTTCGATATGTATATGTACGATTCTCATTCCAACATTACGTCTCAACGATTACCTCGATTTTCATTCCGACAAAATATTCTTATTTTCCACAGCATGTACCTACGATGGATCGATCGAGATTCGAGGCACATTTTTTAAATTGTATTTAGTTAATTAAATATTTAAATTGGAAATTGTGTAATTTTTTACAATTTTTAAATTTTATTGCAATTTAAATTACAAAAATTAAAAATGTGGCTCCATCGATCCCTTGTATATATTACGGACAATCAGAATATTTTTTCAGAATGAAAATCGTTATCGTTGGAATTAGAAACAGTAGATTTTGACAAAAAAAAAGACTTGGTAGTAAGGCCCCTTAACTGAGTATTGAGTAAGTAAATGGTAGGTACTAGGTACCTACCTATTACCTATCATTTAGGTATAAAATATTTTTATAAAATTATTAATATGAAACCAATTCATTTACAGTCTAACCAGTGGTGGTTCTAGAGGGGCTTTTTAGTTAAAAAAATTATTATTATTATTATTATTATTATTATTATTATAGGTACCTAACCTACATGGCTACATTATATCTACATTATAATCTATTCAGTCGTGCCTTAAATTTGGTAATGGAGGAGATCATACTTCTATTAAATATTATAGATTTAGATTAGTATAATGATTCCAGATTCAATATATAATTATAATATTATAAATAGAAGTTGCTTACAAGTTCGAGAAGCAATGTTGCTTCTAAGTTTCAATATTGTAACACCATTTCGAATTCTGCTAATCCACCTTCAAACGTACCTGGGAACTTATTTATTTTCTTTTATCAGGACAATTTATTCTAGAACTTGTTATTTGACATATATATTTTTTTACGTAGGTACCCACTATACATACGTATTATAGGTCCTGTCTGTTCCGTTTCATTTATGATTAGGTACCTACCCTATAAGTTCAATTACATTGCAATATTGTAGGTATTATTGTAAGAAATGAATTATAATATTAGGTTCAAAGTTTATACAGCTACACAGTAATTAGCCTACCTATTTATTTATCTATATTATATGTATTTATGTACAACCTCAACAAATATAATATCCAACTCTATATGGGCGAAGCATTAGGACTAAACACCGAAAACAAATATGATTTAATGATTACCTTCATAAGAAATACACTTAATATATTATAATACAATTTAGCAGATGTAGCTCTACAATAGTATAATTATAAATGCACGACATATTGTATATTATATTTAATTAACATATATTACTATGAACCAGTGGCGTATATGTATACAAATTATTTTATTTATGGGCCAATTTTGTCAATTTATCACTGTCTATTCAAGCATAGCACGACTAACATGGCCATATTACTATACATATTTTAGGGAGCTGGGTGGTTATAATTATGACATTTACAATAAAAATAAAAATTGAGCAATTTAATTTTATAATTATGTAAAATTAATTTTTTAATTCTTTTAAAAAAAATATTGACAATTTCATATATATATATTTTAATGTTATCTAACTGTGAATTTAACATCAAAATCATCAAAGCAAGTCCTGACAATCATTTCCTTGTGGATTCCTCAACAAGATTTTAATCATGATAAATATATCATGGTGAAAAACTGCAAACAGAGTAGAATGTAGATATACATGAAATGCTTTAATTGAACCTGCAATTTCACTATGGGCCTTGACCTAGGGGGCCTCCCCCCAATATACGCCACTGCTATGAAGTATGAACTTATTATATATTTTATACCCAACCAAGTTTTATATTTAATTATTAAGTGCCTGTATACTATGATTTAAAATCATAAACTATAGGTAATGACTTTTGTCAGATATAATATATAGGTCATATCTCAGTCGTTGTTGAATATCTTAAGATTAGGCACTTCAAATATTATCTATACATTTGTTAATTACCTACTAAGCTGATATTCATAAATAATATGTTTTAATTATGAACTAGCAGAAGTACCTACTACTGCAGTAGCGTATGCAGGATTTTAGTTAGGTTAGGGTTTTACCTGAGTATATAATTTACATAATTGATGGTTACAACAAATTATAGTTGGTTTCAAATTTAGTCTACATTTAGAACAATTGAATGCTTAACCTGGCCATCTGTAGAGCCTCTTCAAGTGGTAATAATCGATGAACATGATACATGATGATACACCATACGACAATATTATGGCAGACATTTAGCGATGTTCTAAATCTGAAACTATGATTGACATCTTTGAAATGATTTATATTATGTCCATTAAAAAATAATCAACAATTGATCGACTTTGTGTAGGTACCTATTGAAAATTGAAATGGTTGTGAATTAGAATTTTTTACAAAAGGAAGACATTTCAAGGATGGTTAGAATCCTACCCCTGCGTAAGCCACCAAATAGTAATAGTATTAGTAGGTGGGTAGTTCATGTTTTTTTATTGGCTATTGGCACCTATCTAGTTTATTATTCGTTATTCATTATCAATAAATTGTTGAGGTTTTTAATTGGGATTTTCTATAGGAGGGCGTCCTAGAATCCAATTCTATTTCTATAAATACAAAATTTAAATAAAATATTAATAACGAAAAAAAAGTAGGCGAGTGTATTAAAATATAGAAGACAATACACAATTTTATTCACCAAAGTATGCTCATCCCCTTTTTTTCTTAATAATTTATTCAAATTCTCATTTTTGGAATTTTTAAGTATACTATTATAAGCACCATTTCAAATAATTAAAAGTTTTTATACCATTAAAGGATCGTTTTGATTTATCATTAGTTTAATAAAAATTTAAAATAGACATAACATTGAATCTAGTATTTATTATAGATACTCGGACAAATTTAACAAACTATAAAATATTGATAAATTAATATTAATTTATATAATTTTAAAATCATAATAGTCCGTACATCTACCAAACCTAATATATTATCCATTAGTAGTTAAATACAGTTAAATTACTCATAATCTACTCGTTTAAATTTTGATTTAAATACCCTAAGTCAATATTTTCAAAAAAAGATTATCTCCTTAACAATAACAGAATAGATAACAGTGGTTCCGATAAAAGAATTTTGTACTGTTAGTAGGTATAATAATATTAATGTCAATAATCGATTATAATAGCCAATATACTTCCAGTCGGCTTACTGCTTGTTGTTTTAAATTTTCCTTAAAACTCCAGTTAGATTTATTACTTTTTTATTTACTACAACTAAGGTGTTTAATCAGCTATTATACCATTCCAAGAACAAGTAAACAATGATAAAATGTGTTTATTAGACAAAAAGTAGGACAACTGCAGTTATCAAACAAAAGTCTAGTAAAACAGATTAAAATATAAAATAACCTAGTAAATAAATAAATAAAAAATATATATATTATATAATATATACGAAGAAAAAAATTCAAATTCAGTACACTAATGCGCGTCAAACTAACAATTATTATAATACTGCAGGCGCAGGATGGTGAAGAGATAACGGAAAAAGCTCAAGTCGGTAAATGGCAGCAATCATCCGGTACACATGGCAATTCTGTACTGGCATTCTTTCTCATCTGAACATGTTTCTCCATTATAGACGAAGACGTTTTAATTAAAACGAAACAAATAATTGTCGACATACACCATGCACCGCAGAAACATATATTAATAAATAATTTATTTCGAATACATTAGGTATTTATGTATAAAAAAAATTAAATAGTTATTCACGTCCGACACCACAAAATATTATGATATACCATTGACTTTTGACTATTACACAAAGGTAAGGTGAAACAAAACAGTATACATTATGTATACAGTATTGTCTCAAGAAATGGTATAGTAACAATAAAATATATTATGTGTATTCATATATATTATAGTATATATACATCAATACAGTGTATTCTTTGCATATTACATTTAACCAAATGGATGTGGGTGTGTATGCGTGTGTGGCAGACGTGCATATTATAATATTATGTTACCATAAAAATTTAAAATAATTGAGGATTAAATAAAAAAAATTTCAATTCTCTTTTTACAAGTGAAGAAATAAAACGTTTAATGTGTGTCTTTTTGTATACTTTTTAAAAATTATAATAATCATAAAAAAAAATTACAATAATTTGTAATAGGCTAATAAATATTATCATGCCAAAATAGTATGTAAAATGTTTTTAATATCGTTGATTGATTTATTATAGCTCGTTTTAAAAAAAAAAATTTTAAACTTTATCGGTGAGTGAGGAATGTGAAAACGTCCCTAATATTTAATAATTAATATTTATATAATAATAATAATAATAATAATAATAATAATAAATTACTAAAACACTGGAGATTATAATTAATCGTAAAAATTACAAGATTTTAAAATTATGTTTTAAAGTGTAAAACAACAAATTATTTATAATATAATTTTTCATACTTAAGATTATTATTATTATTTTTATATCATATTACCATAATTGTATGTATAATAATATAATATGTTAAGATGAAAACATTGCTAGCAAAAACTGAAAAGAAAAATTGTAATATTTAAAAAAGAAAAAACACGTTGCCGTCGGATAGTTTTTTTTTGTTTTTTTTTTTTACAAAATTTACACGGCAGATTTACTGCCAAACAAAAGAACTGATTTTGGTGAAATTGAAAAAAAATTAACCATATAGATGATAGTATAACGAATATCTCAACACAAAAAAAAGTTCACAGAGTTCCACATGTGGTAAAAAGATAATTAATCTTTGTTTACTTTTTCGATAATAACATTATCTTTTTAAAGCTTACTCGAACAAAAAAAAAAAAAAATGCAGGTTAATTTCTTCCTTTTTTTTTTGAAAAAAAAAAATTATGATAAAAAATTACATAATAATAATTAATAATGAAACACATTTCACTTAGAAGTCATCATGGTCACGAACTCTGAAACAAAATACAAACAATTGCATAAGTTTAATACAAACACTTTAAGTATCAATAATAATAATATAATAGTTGGTTACAATCATTTACAAATTCTACCTAAAAAAATTAGAAACAAAGAAAGTTTTGTAAAAAATTGAATGGCCAAAGTACAGGAATGGGGTGCATGGATGGTTCTAAGTGTTCTTTTTGCCTTTTGATTTCTTTTGTGATGTTTTTTTCAGAAGGTACTTTTTCATTCGGTTTTTTACCGATAAAATGTATGCTAAAAACAAAGAAACACAACCAAGGAACAAAGGAAAGTAAAAAAAAGATAAATAGGAATATGTATTTAAGTAGAAGTGACACTCATGCGTTAACACAAGACTACATCTAAATTCTCACTTCAATCAATTATTTCTACATGCATAATATATCTAGAAATGGAATCATCACGTAAACAATAAAAAATGTTGATCATACATTTTGTATAATAGGTGGGGTTTTCTAGGTTGATGATGTCAATCAAATACTGATAACACAATATTAATGATGGTACGTCACAATTCAACGATTTAAGATATCACGTGTAATTATGATGTAATTAAAAAAAAAAAAAAAAATCATAACACAAATATAGATATGAGCACTGACCACAGTCACAGTACGTACAAAAATGGTCCGAGCTAAAGTATGGAAATCTGCAAAGTTAAAAAAGAAAAAAAACTAAAACACCTAACTATCTGTGTCGTCAATTAGTAAGTGCTAATGGCTACATATGTCAAACATTTCTAAACTGAAACTAATAAAGATAATATTTCACTTGACTAAAATGTTTCATTGTATGCTTTAATACTAAATGTTATAACGTTTAACTCATTAATTACCAAACAAAAATTGGGTTTAAATATTTATAAGCGATTGAAAACAATTCAATGTGAATAAACTAAATTACTGTTTTAATTATTAATAATAAAATTATATTAAAACAAATTTAATTTAATAGGTACTATTATGAAAGCATATTAATTATTATTAATAAATACTGTCTGTAAATTACTAATCTTTTAAACATGTTGTCTTCTATAGTGGGTGTTTACACCATATTAATTGAAATTAATTTACTAATTTAATGTTATATAAATATTTAATTGAGTAGATGTCAGCTATGTGAACATTCTGACCAATTTAAAACACAATAATAAGAAGAAGCCTGATATAATTTTGTTCACTAAGTACCATATTAATTTTAGTACAATAATTAAAAATTGTTGATACCATCAACACAGATTAGGAATGACTAAAATACAGATTTGTACAAACTAATTCAGATTTTTTTTAAGAAGTTAAACAACAATTTTCAACAAAATATGTTTAAAAGCAATTATTTTAAATCCAATTGATATTGACTCAATACAGTTGATAACAAAATGTGTATGTATGATTAACTCAGAATAATTTAAGGGACAAGCTATTTAACAAAATATTATAACAAAGTACGTTTCATTCACATTAATATCATCAAACAAACTTTCAATTTTTATTATGGTCATCTATTTTTAATTACTATAAGAAATTTTGATGCAGATACCACCCATTAGTTTATTACTTTAAATAAAAGTAATTGCAACTCAGGCAAGTGGAACAAAAGTATTTTATATACCTGACAAATTATGTAGCTTACACATTTCTTCAAAACAAATATTTGAAATATCGAATCATTACTACCCCTCAGAAAAAGTAAAAAAGTAATTGAAAATATATATATATACATTAAGTTGTACAATTATAATATAGGAATTATTTCAACATTTAAAATGTAGATAAATTAATTGTTTTTAATTAAATGGACAATGTATTGTACAACCTTTTTATAGTTTAACCACCAAGTAAATTAAAATGTTCATATTATAGGTACATTGGGAAAATATTTTCATGATTTTTATTAAGTAGGTGCATGTTATTGACATGATACATCATATTAAATTTTTAGGTTAAATATAATGTTTAATCTCAAGAAAGCTTTTAAATGTTTTAATGATCTATCAGATTTTGAAATGTATAAATGCCTATATATTTTATATATTACCAATACATTTTCAAAAAAAAAACTATTACTTTAGTATAAGTCAATATTCAAAATTGTAATGGGTATTTTAAATAAAATAAAAAATAAAAAATTAATCATTTAGAGCAGGATTTTGTCTTCTGTCAAAATAGGTAAATAATTATTTTTTATTTTTTTTTATTGAAATTGTACCAACTATTGTTTACATATTATATACCCAACCTACAAAAAGGAGGAACCCGCGCTTCAATAAAAAAAGATTTCGAACTTGCGCACCCCCAAATCCATGTTGATGATTGAACATTTGTTGCATTTTACCCACTGTCTGAGTGGGAAAAACAGCAGTACGGCACTGAAACATTCACTTAAGTAAAAACGAATTTCCTTCATTTGTGTGCCAGAACATAGTATGAATCAATAGAATCTATCGATACTAATAATGTTAACGGATTTACTATACTTTATTCAACAAGAGGTCAAAATATGTGTTATACACTTCTCTGCCAACCCTGCAGTCACTTCCCCTATTATAATGCCACAAGCACAGATTCTATAGGCATTTATAATAACATATTTTGTGATAACATTTTTATAATTTCATAATTTGTGGTTATCTAACTCCACACTTAATACCTTCATAGTTGACTTGACCATCACCATCAATGTCAGCTTCCCTGATCATTTCATCAACCTCCTCATCGGTGAGCTTTTCTCCAAGGTTAGTCATTACATGACGCAGCTCAGCTGCACTAATAAAGCCGTTTCCATCCTTATCAAATACACGGAAAGCCTCTCTGATTTCTTCCTCACTATCGGTATCCTTCATTTTGCGGGCCATCATAGTCAAGAACTCTGGGAAATCTATCGTGCCGTTGCCTATGAAAATGTAAACAATTTTTTTGGTTAAAAAAATAAAATTAAACTATATTACAATATAATGTATCATTACCATCAGCATCGACCTCGTTAATCATATCTTGGAGTTCAGCTTCAGTCGGATTTTGGCCTAAAGACCTCATGACGGTTCCAAGTTCTTTGGTGGTGATGGTACCATCTCCGTCCTTGTCGAATAGCGAAAACGCCTCTTTGAATTCGGCAATCTGTTCTTCTGTTAGTTGATCAGCCTAGATTATTGAATAACATACATTTTAGAATTAGTAATCTTATTAACATTATTAAAAATCTAATTACTAGTAACCCTCCTCACTATTTTTGAGTTGCTTTTTTTTTTTAAGTAGGTACCTAATACAACATAATTATTGTGATAATTTGCTTACAATGTACCTACAACTTAAATCAGACTAAAATAAGATCCTATCACAAAATAATTCAAAATTAATGATTTCTGTAAGTTATAAAATAAAATTACATAGTTAGAATAAGATACAACATCAATTAAATGTAACTTGGACCATTAAATGTCTTTCTTTATAAAAGTTAAATGTCTTAATATGAATTATTATTGAATAATTATGTATTCATTAAATAAAACTTGAAACATTGAATGTATTTTATGGTGGTAAAATACCTATTATTATATAAGTAGGCATTCCTAATCATAAAACGAAGTAACAATTTATTGCTATTATTCATAGGTACCTATATAATTTTTATTTAATTATATTAGGTAGGTACCTATATAATTTTTATTTAATTATATTAGGTATGTAAAAATAGGTATACCTAGTAAATTTAATGAAGAGGGAACACTAAAAACATTTTTATCCCAGGAGATAATTTAAGGAGATATATTTAATGTACCTTCTCAACTACCCAGAACTAAATTACACGTTATACCTAAATAGGTACATAACAAATAACAGTAAATAATAATAGGTAGGTAATACCTAATTCAATTATTTTGTACGAGTAATTATGAAAAAGAATGCATAAGAATCATATTATCAATATAGTTATCATAGGTAGGTAGGTCTTTATAAACCAGGCCGTACTTATATAAGTAACAGATTAGTGTGCCATTAGACAATAGCTTGATTTGCATTAATAACATCGATATACATTTAGATCAACTTACCTAATGCCACTAACAACGTATATTAATATTATAAATGCGCGAAAAGATCTAAATAACATTCCTGAAACGTTTCTGGCACTATAACAATAAAACTTTTCAAAAAAAAAAAAAACAACAAACAAGTGGGTACAATGTTAATTGGCATTTATTTAATTCATAGCTAGGTCAATGATGTTTATATTTATTGATATAACATTTAACTGTAGGCAATAAATAAAGTTATCATAAAAACTTGATAATCTTTTTGTTTTAATTTGCGAGGGTATTAAGATAGAGGTTAATAATACCTAATAAATAATAATTTTAAGTAGGTACTACTTTAGAGTTTTAATTACAGATTTTATACATTAGGTAGGTGCACAACGAAACACCGTAACATATTTTACAGTTATCATGCAAGCACTTATCTATTATCGATGATAATTTATTTAAATACTCAAGAAATGAAAATAAAATCCTACGAATGATTACTTGACATGGTAGATTGAAAACCTATGTAGGTTAACATTTCAAAAGCAAGTAGGCACCTATGAACCTATTATGTTGAACCTCAAGATCCAAAACAGTAACAAGTCAACAGAATCGAAAACACAACAAGAAATTGAAAAAAATTCAATCAGAGGTGAAAAGGCCAAGGTCATAACCTTTAACAGGTAAAATATCACCCTACGATAAAAATTTGTTATCAGGAGGTTTGTGTTTTAATTATAGCCGGGCGTTTGTTTTTATAAGTCTTAACTAAAAATAATCAACCCAAATATTAATGAATCAAACACCCAATCAACCATACATTTTAATTGGATAGGTAGGTAAAACTAAAACATTATTTATATAAGACTTATAAAATATGAAATTGACCACAATAAAAATATTTCGGTTAAAAGGGTGCACTCAAAAAGTTAGTAGTGGACTTAATTGTCGGCTGATCGTTAGACAATTAAAATCGATTGTTCATTAAAAATAAAAGCCCTCTTCTACGGTTTCTCTCGACCGTTGAAAAATCGGATGAGCAGAGATAAAGATTCGTCCACTCATTTTGGACAAAACCAAACAAGGGTTTGTCAAAAAGCTCGCTATGAGACATGTTATCATCGTCGCTGGGGGAATTCGTTGGAGAGACGAAAACAATTAAACGGGGTGGGGGAAGGGGGGCACAAGAAACGCCCTAGGGACGCGCATGAAATCCTGGTCCCGCGGTAAGGTGGTGGATTTATCGAGAGGTAAAAAGGGGAAGGCTCGACGGCGGCGGTCAGGGGACAGGAGGAGGAGGAGGAGGAGGGCCGTCGACGTGCAGAAGTTCGGCGCTAGATAGCGTTCGGGGGCCGCCTTTGACGGGGGACTGCACTGCACAGTTGTTGTACTACACACAAACACGAATCGCGAGCACTCGCGCAATGCGATGACCGTGTGGGTGCGGGCGACGGACGAGGAAAGCAAAAAAAAAAAACTCGAACCACCGCCAAGTACACTACTACCTTATTGCCGGTTTATTATTATTATTTTTTTTTCTTTGACTCGTAAACGACGACGACCATAATAATAATAATATTATATAGGCAGACCATTATTATTTTTATTGTGTACGACGACGACGCCGCCGCCGTCGAGTTATCGACGACCCGACCCGGCACATTCTGGGAATGTCCGCCGCCGCCGCCGCATCGGACAGAGGGCCCCCCCACACGATATAACGCCGAAACGGCCTGCTATCGCGGTGGTCACCGGTCGGCGAATTAATAATAATAATAATTATATTAATAAAAATACACACCGCGTCGTCGGGCGACAAACAATAAAAATGCACGACGGCGTTTGCGCACGTTTTCGACGTCTATGGAGTCGAAAAATTAATAAAACCACATAGGACGACGAGAATTTTTTGACTAGCGCCGCGCGGCACACTGTACAGAAAACCACGTCGCCGTCGTCATCACCGTTGCCATCGTCATCGGTGTTAAATTAAAACGAACGAAAAAAACCCGACAGCGATAAATACGTACCTACCTACGCGAGAGAACGAAATCTTCGCGGCTCGCAAAGGTCAAGGCCACCGGCCGACGAACGTAAAGTCTCGTCGTTTTGGGGGGGAGGGGCCCAACGGGGAATCTGAGAAAAATACGATTTGTAAAATTAATGTTTTCGAAACGGTCGCCGCCGCCGACGCCACAAATGAGGCACGCGCTACGGCGGCGGCGCCATGTTGGACACCTTGGCGACGACTAAGGCGGCGTTGGGACCGTCTCGACGGCCACCAACGGCACAAACCGATTACGAGAAAACCGAAAAAAAAAATCATAACGGTCAGTCTAAAAATAAACGGCCTGGGCAACAACGGTCGCGGCCGCCGCCACCTTCGGGTAACTAATATTATTATTATATATTTTTAACGGACACCGACCGGCCCAAGTCTTATCGTAACGACTAATATACTAATGACAGTAATAATTATATAGTTGTAATAATAACGAATTGATGTCACTCACCATTTTAGTTATGATGTCGGTGTTACGTCGACGAGAAATTCAATAACGGACACGTTTGGCGTGTGTACGACGCGTTGCTCCTGACGCGGCGAGTGTATATGTGTGCGTGAGTGCGTGTGCGGTGCGTATGTCACCCGGACAAGCGACGGTGGTTACTCTGTAGTAACGCGCGCGCTTCCGACGGATACCGCGATAACCGCGTTTCCAATGAAATGCTCAGGTCTGCCGGCCGGGATACTCGCCGCTCAACTCCGCTCGGTTTTACCTCTCACTCGGTAGCTCGCTGGCTGGCTGCTCGCTGCCTCTGTTCCTCGTGTCGTGTTCAACGAAACGTGGAGTGCCGTCGGATGTGTCTGTCGGACGCGACGGACAGAATATTTTTATTTCGAAAAAAAAACGTACGACGGTATGTGTGCCGTTTGGTGACGGAAAACAACTGAAAACGATGCGTTGCGACCCGGCGCGCGCGCGTGTGTGTGTGTGTGTGTGAGAGAGAGAGAGAAAATATAACCACTGTAGTACCTACAACAAGGCAGCGTTGTATGTGTAGTCTGTAGTCGCACTGGTGTCGTAGTGGGATCGTGCGCGAAAGGTAGACTGTGTAGTACCAGTAACCGCGTTCAGTGTAAAACTGGTGTCGGTCGCCGCGGTGGGTGTGCGGTAGGAGGGAACGCGACCGGGGCGATACCGACGGCGGCCGTGACGTCACCGGTGGCGCGCGCGCTCTCGTACGCCCCGGATGTGTTCGGGCTCTGCGCAGGAGAAATACGAAATAACACTCGCACACACGTCCGAACTACTACTACTATTACTACTAATACTACTACTACTAATACTACCACAACATAACACACACACACACACAATATAATGTATATATATATATATTGTATTACTATACTACCTACCTTCCGACATACACTACTACAACTACTACTACCACCACGGTATTACTACGAATTAATTTACGGCTCTTATATTATTGTTATTTCGCCTTTTTCGGCCGAGTATAAAAATGATTGCCGCGCAATCGATCGTCCAACAATTTTTTTTCGTTTTCATCGGGCCCCGGCTCGATAATCTACGATATCGTGTGTAGCTATATTGGTAGGTATTATATGATATCAATTAAAATATCGTATTTTATTTCGTCATCGCGATATCGTATTATAATATTATTATTATTATTATACTGTCCGGCGGCGGTGCTTAGGTAACCTTTCCGCCCGGCCGGAATATTTTCGGGTTGACGCGTTGCGCGCCACCGTGTATCGGATTTTTGCGGGCAAACGGACCTTGGCAGCCAGCCATTGGCCCACCGGCACCTGCAATGCGCCAAGCGGCGCGATTACACGCGGGGCGACGCCGGGTTTTACCAGAGCTACGGCCGCCGCCGCCGCCGCACGCTAATGATTTCGAAAATCTTCCCTCGCTCGCCAACACTTTGTCCACCGACATTTTAGCGAGTACGATAATTGATACGGGTTACCGAATCGTGCCTACACGACTGTCCGCAGAGTTGCCTGCACACCATGTTGGCAGTTTTGTAATTTTGTAGTTACAAAATTCGTCCAGGGTCTCTTAATTATATAGTATACATAACCTACTACACTTGCCCCACAAGTCCTTCGAACTTTATATTTTAGACTGTACCGAGTTACCCTGCAACTCGGTGTCCGTGTCATAAAATCACTATAGATGCAAACAGATTTCCCGGTATCAAAGGACATCCATATATCATTCTAATATTGAGATTTTTTAAAACGCACATGGGTACCTAATGTGTCAGTGTCATATTTAGACCTGTCTTAAAATTATTTTTCTCAGTGATGGGGTGGAGTTATAAATCTAGGAATAATTGAGTAAATTTGACTCTGATCAACGAAAAAAGGTATTTCAGAAAAAATTTGGAACATCTCCAAAAACGTTAGAGGTTTATCTCGCAACTCCCCTTTTATAAGTATACGTGCCACTTTCAAACTACTTTTCTTTTATGGAAAAACTATTTGAACGTATAAGAAAATGATTAAGTATAATAACACGCAATTAATGAGCAAAAATTAAAATTAGTTTTCTCCCCGAGTTATACCTGAGCCCAAACTTTACTTGTTTTACTGAATATTTAATACGGTACACAAAGCAATTTTGTTTGTTTCATTATTTTTTTTCCCGAAACTGCGTTTTCATTATATTGACGGTCAGACATTTTGTTTTGGTATTTGTAGGTAATGTGTCACGCTGTCAGTGGAATAACCAGAGGGGTTTTGAGTTTTTAATCCACCCCTCACCTTGACTTTTTTCCCCGAATAAATGTAATATTTAAAACTGTAAAAACTTTTTTCAATTTATACTTTTACCTCCCCCCTTCCATACACCACCACTGCAAGCTGTACTGCACTACAATATGTCGATATAAACGCGTTATCATAAAATGTATCGTTTAACATTGTTATTATTATTATGCATAGGTGTAAATGATCAAAGAGAAAGTGTTTGGTAAAAATCGAAAAAGAGAGTAAACGTGTACCTTCTATAGATACATATAGATATTATACCTGTTGCCCTAGACGATATTAAACTTAGAAAGTTGACCTGCCATGCTCGTCTTCAGTTTAGGGACAACGGAACGTTTTAAATGAAATAATTATTATACACAAAATAACAATTTGTTTGGGCTTAAATAATTTATATAAGGTAAAATAAAATTTGCAATCGAGTTATTTTTTAATGATTACAATAGAGAACCAAGCAAAATATGATGATACATAATTCAACTATGGGCATTTACTACATAGATAGGTAGTCACACTTTCAGCTGTCAGGTGAAAGAGAGAACGTCAAAATGTGGCCAGAATAAACTGAAGACTAAGCAAAATTTAACCGTAAAAACATATTGATGGTTTAAAATAAATTTTTATTGTTTCAAAACTAAAAATTATAACAATTTCATGATTGAAACTATTACAGTTTTTAAATACCTAAGTGGCATAGGTATATCGTATATATGAAAATAGAAATTAGTTATACATTTTTAATTTTAATACAATAATTAGTACAGGTAGTGTTAGTATATATGTGTACTTATTTTATATATTTATATCTATATATTGTTATTTAATTTAAATTTAAAGTTTAGTGTAAAAATAAAATATAGTTTCATTCGATTCAGTGTTAGAAAAATTGAATTGAACTATTTTTATAAATATCTAGGTAATACTGATATTTTAATTAAATTATTGTCTGCATTTCGTATTAAGCTGGGTTTTTAATCATACACAATAAATACAATGAGCATAAAATATTATATAATATTTTTTTTAAATAATAATACCATTAAAAATGTTTATTATTTATCTAACTGGTAACACTTTGTTGAAGGAGGAATTAATAGTTATACTACTTATACTGTGAGGTATAGATACATTTTAATTATACAATTTTTCGTAATTTTGTTATAAAGGTATCGCAATTAGTATGCATATTGCATCGGCCGCCTGTATTCGCATTGGAAATGATTGAAGTGCAAATAATCACGATAAAATGAGATAGAATTAATATTTATTACAAATTTGTATAATTAAGTTTGAAAATACTTTATAGATGGAAAAAAATAAGTTCACCTCTCACAATGATTTTTGATTAGGTATTATTACAAAAGTGATTTTTTCATTAAAATTGAATCTAGGTACAATTCAACTGTGCATTATTTTATATAATATAGTGAATCGTTTTCATATTTAACAAGTACGATCATAAGACAATTGTTTAAAATTGATAAATTGCTTTTCGAAAACGGCCATCTGTGCAATTGGAAGTATACCATATGGTTAACCTGAAAAATATCATATTTATTTAAAAATGTACAAACAGTTTTAACGATGTAAAATGTTTATTATACCTACCTCATACCTGTAGACCATACACATATTACACTCTAATATCGGAATACGATTAACCATAGGATAGACACATAGTTACTGTGCTGCAGTGCAAGGCAGTGATTTATTGCCCAATTATTATCATACAGTTTAATTTTCAATACCTAATATAAAAAAAATAAAGATAATATGCTGTAAATTTTTCAATTTTACAGTAATTATTGGTAGTTTTCTCTTCCAATCCAAAGATAGGGTCATATAATATATTATTGAACATTCCTTTTATACTAGAAAAAATGATATCAAATAAAAAAATAAAAATATAATCTCTGTGCACGGAAATATTTTATATTACTAGTTTCTATTATGATCGCCTTGTTATTAATTTTTCAATCAATATCAGAATAAAACATTGGTTTATAATGCGCATTGTTATATTGCACCTATCGCCTATTAATTTTATGAGACCCTATGGCTGTTAAACCTACCTACTTTAAAACATTTTAAAATTAAGCAACAATGTATAGTAACGAAAATTAATGTAAAATTATAAATACGTCTTAATGTTAATAGGTAGGTAGTAGAGGTATCTATATTACTCAAATAGTAGTATAGTTATAAGCCTAATAATTAATTACTTAAATTCAACTAATGTTTTTAAGCGTGCGATAATTAATTGTAATATTCCCCTTAAATAAACTGTGTTTTAGGCTTATCTTCTATGAATTTTCCATTAGACGTCTGAAAATAGTTTGGACATTAATTTATGAACTTTACTCACGGCTTTAGATTAACTTCTATCTATACATTAATACATTATATACATTATATACTTTGACTAACTTTTTGTACTTACATTGATGTGTTTTTTTGTGTGTCTGACGTCATCTTTAGAAGCAGTGATGTTGCTTCGATTTTTAACTTTGAGGGTGGTTTCTACTTTCTATTGAAAAATTCTATATATAGTTGGTCTATCTATAGAGGAGTCAAAAGTAAAAACTCAATACTTTTCAAAATAATCAGGAAAAACAAAATTCGATTTTGTTTTTTTTAATTATTCAAAAATGGATAACTGTTGACCCGAATTTTCCACAAAATATATATAGAGTATTTTCTTGTATATAT